ACTACACTTGGAGACTTACCCACAACTTGTTTCACTGATTTAACAATGCATCCGATTCAGTAGCACATCACCCTTATGACTTAGGTAAGAGACTAGCAGCATTGTGAACACCACAAATAATCCATTGTAATGGCTAGGAGGGACCCCCTAAGGTGTATTTGACAGAACAATTGTAAATCCCGTTTATCTTTTACTGAGTCTCGTGTAATACAGAGAAACTGAATTCTGTTAACCGCCTAATTTTTGCCGGTAACTATTGGAGCTGACACAAATTTGAATAGAGCCACTGCCACCTAAACTAAGCAGAAGAGCAATTCATGCACTACTTAAAAGGATCACGCTGTGCCTACAGTATAAATAGATTTACCTGTTCGATGCAGCGGGAAATGCCGACACCAGTTTGAATACGATTAGTTGGCTTTATGAATTAGTTGAAGACTTTTCTGGCATTTTTCGTGGGAAATCCGCTACAAACAAAAGGTTCAAGTGCTGCTTATTTCTACCCTACCAGGGAGACAGTATCTCCCCTGGAACAATGAAAAAGAGGGTGTTCTCAATTATTTCAAATTTTCACTAAGGTAATTCCCACGTACTGCAACATGGCTACACTGTGTGACAGTACCATTTGCAAAGAACAAAAGTTGGATTCATTTAGCCTATTCATGGTAGCGCATGGGAGTTACAGAACGCAGCTGGAAACCTACAGTTATTTTGTAACCAACTTCCAATAGTTGAAAACCGCATGAGTTTCGAAGACTTTTCTGAATTACCTATTTCTGCTACAAGTTCTTTTGCGAGGTATAAAACCACACTTACGCAATTGTAGTTTTGAGGTTAAACATTATCCTCACGTCTGCATTCCAAATACAAAACGTTGGGAACATTGCTTATACATCAACATTGCTGTCCTCACGCAGATCAACCCAGTGATCGTAATTATCACCTTATTTCATGTTCAGTTTATTTGCCGTTGATTATACTAGGGTCGTAGGAACGAGAGCTGTGGGTATTAAATTTCGTGTACTGATCAGTAAGCTAACCGTACACTGTTTGAACAAATATATATATATATATATCAGCATTGTTGACGAAGTATTGGACACCAGCACCTGCTTCTGCTACCTTTAGAGCGTGGTTTCGACCGATCAACAAATTTCCAGTGAGGTGCGTCTCCTGGTATCGAAGGTAGCGGCAGCATTCGGGACGCTTGGGTACCGAGTATGGAACGACCACCAGCGTACCGTCGGCACGAACTTCATAGTGTACAAATCCATGGTGTTGTCCGCTTTCTATACGGCAGCGAAACGTGGACGACGTACCGGTGAGATGTGAGATATCTCGAGGGGTTTCATTAACAGTGTCTGTGACGGATTCTACGCATCGGTTGTTACGACAGAGTTGCTGGCAGGGAGATGTTGCGCAGAAGTGGAACTACTATTGCCGAGACATTTGAGGTGGCTCGGTCATGCGTGGCGTATGGATTCCACTAAGATACCGAAACAACTGCTGTATGGTCAACTGAGTACAGGGAAGCGGCACGTGGGAAAACCGAGGTTACGTTACCAGGACATAGTCAAATTGAGGTCATCACGTTCTAATGTTGAGTACAGGTATTGAGATCGAAGGCGGTTGATCGGCGGGCATGGCGTGACCTGATCACGGAAGCCGTGGCCAAAGTACAAGAGAAAGCCCTCGTCTATGCAGAGAAGCGACATTTGCAGACGTCACAGGCACCGATGGGCTATACTCCATCTACGTCGATCGCACGGTGCTGTAGCACATGCGGTGGCGAGTGCCTGAGTCAAGCAGGTCTAGTCAGGCACGAGCGAGGCCACTCGGGTCCAGCATCGAAACGACGACGAGTCCAGCTGAGAACGTAGGCGGAAGTGGCGCAGCGTTTGCAGGCACGCTTCATTCGATTTACTAACGGTGTGTTGAAGTGTTGGCTTGCTTTGTTTCAGATGTCCGGTTTGCTAACTTGTCTTTATGCTTATTTTCTTAAATCATTTTAACACCTGCCTTAATAAACTCATAAATTGCAAATGTCGCTTAAACGGATGGTGCTTACCTTCATTTTTTCTCCATTTTGCATATCTTGATCCATTTATCCGCCATACAATGTATTGCGTCTATGTTGATAATCCATTTATATCATGCGCTAACTTAGCGGCATATCCGTATGGTGTTTTCTGCCTATTTTATTAGTTATTTCATTACATGTGATTGGTTGTTACTTGACATCCCCGATGTGGCTGCTTACCTGTCTATTACCCACCACCTCGTACATAATGGCTCCAGGAGACAGATGGTCGTTGCTGTAGGGGAAGGGGTGCACGGTCTTCGTGGAAGTGCTAGGCTCGCAAAGTGATTCCATGCACACCGTTTGCGTGTGTAGCGGACTACGGTCCAGCCAGCGGCTTGTTTGCGATTAATTCTCAAATATATCGTGCTTGCGTTGACCTGTGAAGGAATGTGGGCCAGCTCCGTTGATGAAACGTGGCTCCCATCCACATGCCTCCCGGCCTTATTCCTTTGGGTTTACACTGGATATGTGGTGTGCGGATGGAGCTGTGGGTGGTGAAGCGCAAGCCATCCATGGCACCTCTGTAGGCGCAGGCGTCCTGTGGAGCACACAATGGCAGACAAATCCGGATACGGGTGCCACCAACCACGTATACGCATGTATGTAAATGCGTCAGTGACATTTTATTGCTTCAACAAGCTTCGTGCCGTCAATAGCCGCAGCACGTTCCATTTACCGGCTTGCGTGCAAGGTCGAACGTTTCATTCTTTTGAACACAAAAGTACTTTGCTATCCAGTGCAGTGCCCTTGTCCTCGGCAACACAAACCATAACTTGGTCATCCATACATATATGAAACCACGTGTGCGACTAGCTTAGTGGACTGCGTGTGAAGCTGTAATACTCGTCAACTTACATTCCGACGACCGTAGAATTATCAACGGCAACAGTTTATCTTTTGGCATTGAGCATAACATAAATTAATAATTACGACTAGTACGTTGTTGGCTTCCAGGCTGATAACAGAACTCCTTTACTGATTGAAATACCCATAAATTCTTCTGGATTCTGGCTATTTTTCTCGTCGGTAACTTGTCATCCTTTTGCATGTAATATGTAACCAGTGATCAGCCAGTTGGTCCGAATAGGTCTGCCAGTCGCGCTTACATACTAGAGCCTACTGCTGCTACTACTCTACTACTACTACTACTAATTATTATAATATTATAATAATAATGATACGTATATTCTCTTGATGAGAGAAACTGTCTGTAGCGGCACAACTTAATTTTTACAGAAGCGTCCATGCTCTTGCATGGGTGACGTGCATAGGTGGAATTTGGGATATGCGTTTCATGTATTAACGTTCTGGCGGATGGTTGAGACCAAAGCCTAGTTACGAAAACATTAGTGTTTATATGTTTTTGGGCCCCTCTTGGAATAGCTTATCGAGGGATTTTTCCCGTGTGAATATAGACCTTAGGGTAGTTAGATGAAGGTAATTGGCGAGTCTGTTTCTAAACGTTGCCACGTTGTCACATGACCCTGTGTTATTGGTAGTTTATTCCACAGATAGCTATATCTGACCAGGAAGAAATTAGCGCGGACGTTCGTTCTAGCCTTCGGTATATTCAGTGTAAAATTTGTGTTGCAAAGCGCTCGAGTTGCGCAATGTTGTAAACTGAGTGTAGGCAGGTTGGAATAGGCATTTTTGTGTAAAATGTTGAAACGCAGCAAGAAGTTGTACTTCAATCGTCGAATCCAAAGTGGTTCGAGATGAAGTTCATTGTAACGTTCCCGATAACTCATAGCAGAGCGTTTACCAATCAGACATTTAGTAAATGACCTCTGCATGTGCTCCACAGCAATACTGTCAATCTTTCTCATATTTCCGTATATTAGGCTGCAGTAATCGAGGATGGGGCGAGTGAGTACCTTGAAAAGCTTAACTCTAGCACGATTTGTATGTATTTTTGCTATATTGAACATAGACTACTACTACTACTATTGCTACTACTACTTGAACCATGCTCTTGGTGCATGCAGTTGATTTTTACTGTAAAGCGTAATCCCGCTTCTCGTGGCATCTAACTGAATTTACGCCATGAATTTTGCCGTGAATATTGTATTTTAAAATAGTTAAGCCCGCCTTGAAATTGTGCACTCTGTCTTCACTACTGTGTTGACCAAAGTGTGAAACCCAAACTTTTCCACGTTTTCTTGCGTTATGAAAGAGTTGCAAAGAACAGCAGATCTAATTTATAGTTAGCTGGCGGTTCCCGAACTAATTATGAAAACAAACCCTCGATATGGGAGTGGGTTATCTCCTATCCGAACACACCGCACAACGCTGCGCGCTTCGACCTTGTTTGCTGTCATCAGTTAGAGACAGCAGGCATCGAACCCGGGACTTTTGCGATGTTATTTTGGACCTCTACTTCTTTAATGTCCGGGTCACAACGAACAACGCTTGGGGGAACGGTTAATAACTGATTAGTGGGTTATTGTTGCGTGATTGAATTGCGACGTGCAAAGGGATAGAGGTCCTAACAAACATCCAATTGGTCCCGGGTTCGAGGCCCGCTATCACTAGCTGGTGAGATCATTAGGATTGGAACGCCTAATGGACTGCAGTGTTTTCGGATGGACAACACCCAATTCCCATAGGCTTCAGCTACGGTCTTAGTGACTGACTTGGCCAAGGTTCGCTTCAGTGGGAAGCATAGTCCACAGTGAGAAACGAATGGCAATCTAATCACACAACGGGTACTTCAATTGACCCTACATACTTCATATATCTTACTTGTGTGTTTATGATAGTGTGCTGGCGAAGCGAATAATCCTCCCTATGCAGAGCTAATACAGCTGCGTAATAACAACCGGTAGTTAAAGGGCGTGCCTTATGTGCTTTGATAGCCAAGCATGAATTTCTTTCAAGAGGCTACCTGTGATTTTTCTAAAAGCCATGCTGTGCTTACTCATTTCGGCCAACAACCTTTTGAATCCGGTCAATATTGGGCTTGAGAACATGCTCGTGACAGGTTGCGCTGGTCTTAAGTGAAAAGCCTGCATATTCGCTGTCGTTGCCGATCCGGTTGATGCCAGGTTTGAAAGTGCATTCAGTTGACCGAATTGCAATGATGCCGACGCACTTGGATTCTGTTGAATTAGTGGATAGTGCATCTGGTGGGGTTGCCCAGGGGTCATGTCCGAAGGCAGCATTTAGAATTTATCTTCTGGGATAAACATTCACTATTAACAGTATTGATGTCGAATCCGAAATACTGTGGTTTTGTCTGGTTTCCGGCTGGCACCTAGACTCGTGCAGAGGAAAGATAGACTTATTCCGTGACCTGAAATCAGTGTGAAAAGAAAGAGAAGATATTAATGCTAGTACTAATACTAACAATTTATGTACAACCGGCGTGATACCCCCGTTAACAGCATTTGTATAGTACAGCCAGAATATGGCGCAGCACACAGTGACACTAAAAATACTTTTTCAGAAATAATTATTAATGGCACGTAACTCTGCAGGGTAAAACACGTTCTGATCATTTGAAATTCAGTCTGCAGAAGTCTAGAGCATGCTCCGGTTTTGTTTATTTCCTTATTTGAGGTTCTGAAAGAACTCACTGCACGCTTAGGCGATTGGTGCGGAATGTTGAAGTAAATGTTGAATACATTCGTTTGAATCAAGCAATGCACTTTGCTGGTCGCATCCACTGGTCTCCATCGGACAAACGTGTTATGCTTGGTCTTTCTGTTCCCCTAGTTAGCAACACCGCTCGGTGTTATCCTCTGCAGCTAGAACACAGGGAACCTTTTTCTGTACCACATGAAAGCTTCTTTGTATCCATCTGCTTTTTGGAACAGCGACCTAGGCTCTCGCTACCGTCATTGCAATAGCATCAGAACTGGCTCAACTGTGCCAAATGCTGGCTACTAGTCTGACACGTTCGGATTCAAACTAGGTAGTTAGAAAAACATTGTTTTGTTTAATCAGAAGTACTACTTTTCAATCAACAATTTAATTATGTAATAGCAACCACGCAAGTTAAAAATAATATGGAGTATATCTACTCTACATTACGCAACGCATTTCCGCAACATAAACAAAAGAGTGAGTAATTCCTTCGGGTGGAAGCAAATTCGTCGTATGTAGAGACGGTTGAAAAAAACGAATATTTGTAATCGGTTGAAGAATTGTGAGGTGTAATGCATAGTCAGCTTGTAATAAACAACTACCTAGTATCTGAAGACTGTAATCATGGAAAAGGATACGAAATATAAAAGTTTATGTGTTCACGACGATGGCTAAATGATCACCGCAATCAAAAGTGCTTACCTAGTATTAGTTTAACAATATTTAACAAGGACAAAAGTCAGCATTTGTAGGGATTTGTAGAACGTTGCCAAAACTTCATCATTCAACTATACAACTTTATAACTAATTTTAACCCAGCTATCTGCAAATATTAAGTTTCTTCATTTTAACGATTCAATTTGAATACTGCCCTTTCCTGGTCGTTAAACAGAATATTAAATGGTGGCGTCTTTGAGTTAAAACCAATGAAAGGCGTTGTTCATACTTACGAGCAAAACATTAACACATGAAATTTACGACTGAATCAGTGATAAGCTTTGGCAATTGTCTTCTTATCCATAAACAAAAATTTATAAATTTTGGAAGCTGATTCTTCAGAAAAGTTTCGCTTTCCGCATGGACCTAATTTTAACCACTGAATAATACCTGTACTTTGCAAATATCAGAAAGAATCCGGGATAGCTGCATGGAAAACTATACAAAATCCTTGGTGCTAGGTTGCAAACATAAGCTCAGATCACACAAATTGACCGTCTTCCTACATCTGTTTGTGTCCGTCGACCTTGAATACCTAGGTCTCAGCAAAATTTGTCATCAAAAATGCGCTTGCGTATATATGAGTATGCCTCTATGAAAATTAAGGAAGTTTGCGTCATTTGCAGTAGAACATGAAAATGTCTTCCGTATGTGAATGAACAGTTGTACTTCTCCATTGTCCGTAACTTAACGATATCGACTTGACTTTCCTCAGTGTATGTAAAAATCTATTAAGCGGTATAAATAGTTGTAGGTAGTTACAACTGCTCAGCCTTGTGGGGGGATCTCAGTGGCATAGTGTTCAGGCTCTGAGTTCCACCCCGGCTCAGGCTATCTCCACCTGATGAGTCCAAACCAGAACAAAACCGCCGTCGTGGTGTGCCAGCGTTGGGAGGAGAAACACTGAGTTATTTGTAGCTGTAGGTATTGTGCAAATCATTAATACCCCCCTGTTCTCTTGTGACCAACTGCAAACTGTATGTGAATAAATCCGGATCAAGGCATTATAAGATTTTCAATCAAGATTCCTCTAGACGAACTTACCATCATTTTTAGACTCAGCTTCAATGTGCACACCTTTGGTCCGAAGAGGGCGCAAAACAGAGAACCGGCTTTTGCCAGAAACAGCTTTAGCCACTCAACGGCGGTGGGTCTCGATACCTGGGTAGTTGCGTTGTGAAGTGGCCTAAACACTTATCTGTCTACGACAGTTTGGATTCCACACCTTTTAAAAATACCCGTTGATATTAAAGACTGGGGAGTTTAAATGATTTGTCGGACTTTTATAAGCAGTTAATTAATATTTTTTGGGACATCTGGCCAATTAATTGTATTTCACCATTTTAAGTGTGCCCAAAAACTGAAGTTATATACATCAGTATCCTCCCAACGCAGAGCCAGTTACAACCGCATTCACCGTTGGTGGTAATATTGGAGATGATTTTATATTATTGCCGCACACCAAGGTGATTACTAGACATTAGCAGCACACCGGTGTGCCTTGCGGTCGATTCGCTACGCTGCAACAACCACTATTCGTGCGTGGGCTAAGAATGTTGCTGGAGTTACCCACCACGCTACGCAGACTCCAACCAGTGACAAACTTCAGCTGCTCATCTCCGTCTGAGTTGCCACCAGTTCCACCAAACCGTTGCTCATAGTTTGTATATTTTATGCACAAACTCCATGGAATACCTCGAGTTGAATGAGGGTCAAAGAGGGTGCAATTTGCGGCTAATTTTCACCACATATCTGTAAGTCAGCACGTTTACCCCCAATTGCAACACCGGGTGTCCGACAAGTCCCCATTCAGTTGATATGTGTGGGTCTGAAAAGACTTCGTGAAGTTGACTCCTTTAGCCTGTAGGAGTTGTGACGATGGCAGTTTATCACTAAGTTTAAAAACCATCTCGCATGAACTTTATCTAAACTGCTCTGAATCAAGCATCCTAAACTGTCACATGTTTACAGTCGTATTCGATCATAATTAGGTTGCATATTGAGTCTGTGTATGTAAAAGCCAGTTCGGATAGCTAGTATAAACACCAGCAAGCTGAAACTTTGGACACCCCAGTTCTATTTTGTAAGTTTACCTGATATTGCTCCTAAATACTAGGCTTTTTTAGACACCGACCTTTTTCATATACTGCTGGCTCATCAGATGTGTAGATAACCCGGGCTCTCCTTTCCAAATATGGACCTGCAGAATTTACCTTATACGGATCACTCTGAAGACCCTATTGCCGTTAGCTGCAGACTCTGATTTACTTGATTTTATTGACAATGGCTTTAGCAACCTGGTGTGCACTTCATTAATGATAATTATTACCTCATTCTTGGTTGCTCATCTCGATGGATTGCATTTGGTTGCAAAGCCTTGTTGCAATTTGCTCAAGAATGTGCTGCTAGAGTTTTGAAAAAATCTCCCATCAAATCACAAAATATAGCTCTTAATAAAATCTCAACAGTTTGCCATATGGCCATGACTGCCGTTGTCCAGAAAAAGTATACGTCCATGGCATCTCTGTAGTAGTGGAAGCGCCTGCACATCCACATGCGGCGCAGTGCCTCACGCGTCGTTCAATTTTGTCTGATTATGGTCTGAATTGAAGAATAGGTGAGGGTGGGGCCAAGCGATCGGAAGAACCCAAGGGGCCAGCAGAGTTATGTATTGTGGCAAATACCATAAACCGGCTGCGCCAGCTCTGACAAACGAAACTTCCACTCATCTATACACCTGCTGTTAATTGTTGCGTGCTGAGCATTGTTTGTGTGCCTATTCTTCGCGCGCATACATCTGTGACTCCAAAACGTACCTTGTATTTTGAGGATCTAGTATGGTTCGCCGTTGACCCGTCACCGTTTGGTTTCCTGGCACTTCTATACTACTGACAACTGGCGCAGTAATGCCTGTCTATGGTCCACCACAATCTTCTCCATACAAAGTTCTCGCCTCCGTTACCTTTGGCCGGAGATGCTCATGTGCGAATGGACTTTCGCTTCTAACGCGTGCCAGTACCTCCGCTCACTAGCATATAATCGCTATGAATCTCCTTGTAAAGCTATTCTATACACTGGGCCATGTCGGTTCATCAACTAGTGCTATGCGCCTCTGGTTCGCGACCATAAGTTCACCGGTTCGAATCCGCGTAGGGGCAGGCATCTTCGCGGTATACTCAGCCCACGCGCGCCTGATGGTAGATGCGTGGCAGCGAAGCGCCCTTAGGACGTACAGTTGAGGATTTACTATTATTATTTACTAGAACCCTAGCACTTCAGTAGAAGTTTCCTTTCCCCCGGGCCACAAGTGAAAGCAAATTGATTGTCTCTGTATTACACTTTCGAACCTATCGGAAACTCAACACCCGCCTTGCTATTGTTGGTATTGGATTTCTCCATCCTCCGCGCCCAAGTTGCCTTCAAGTTACTGTTGGCTGCCTTCCTGTTAACCTGTGGTTCTTTTGGTAATATTCGGCAAGTCTGCTACATTCTAACTGCTAAAGTAACACGCATTCGACGTACTCGACCAAACACCCATTGGAACGGCGAATTCTTTGCGCATACCTGTTTAGTTGCACTATGGGACAGCAACGGCAGTGACAAAATTTTCTCCCCTTCCCGCCAGGAACTCTTTAATCATTCCATTATCACACTCCGTCAAGCCATTTGGCTGCTGAGGATATGGGGCTGTCCTTACCTTCTTGATATCCAGTTTCTCCTCTATCAAATAATTCATGGCGGCATTGTTAATGGTGCTTGTCCGTTGATATTGGCATTAAGCTGCTTTTAATCCAACGCGTAAAGTGCTCCACCATCAAAAATATGCATTGGTTGCCCGCCCGGTCAATGGAAACGGTCCCATCACGTCGATCGGCCATAGTACATCAGTTTATCCTACCGGGATCGACAAACGATTTCCAAGAATTATGATTATTTGCATGAAAGCACGTATGTCTTGACGCCCTTCTCCATGACCGGCCAATAGTTGTG